GTATAGTGATCTAAACTGTTATAAGGTCATAAACTGACTAACTGACCGACCGACGGGCTGATTGACGGACTGACTTTCTGAGTGACTGAATGACTGACTGACTGACTGACTGACTGACCGACTGACTGACTGAGTGTTTCGGTCTGTCTTGGTGACAGACTGGATGACCATCCGACCGACTGACTGTTGACTAGGCAATGGAGGGAGCAAATTATTTATTGGCTCAGTAGTTTCTCTAATTATTTGCATGTTTCGATGAATGATACATTGTATTGTAGTTAACTGATAAACAAAACACTTACTAAGTCCATCTGCGTCAGGCACAATAAAGGAACCACCCAAACCCAGCAAGTCCAAAGCTCTCTGTAACTTGTCCTGTAAAAACAATGACCGTGATAAGTATCCTGAGACATCGACCCGATGTCTAATCAAGTTTCACCGAATGAAGAGTTTTTACGATGGCATCTGTGTTTTCAAGACCAGTCTGCAAAGAACCTTAGACAATAAGTGCAAAGACCTTTGCAGATGGTCCTGTAAAAACAATAATGATGACAAGTATTCCATAGATATCGTCTCATCACACAATAAAGTTTCATATGATCTGTTGTTACATAGAGTATATTACACGGCGGCATGAAGATATGAATTTTATCTTCGAGTGGTAAAATATTTTTTTTTACACGAGAAAACAAAATTTATATCTTCAAGTTACCGTGTGATTTTCCTTTTTGTTATATAGGCAAACTGACTGTTTGCGCAAAAAAAAGAAAAAAAACAATAAAAAGCGGGAAATGACGTCATCAATATCCTCACTACACATTTATAGTCAAGTTTCAGAGGTACGCCGAAGGGGGGCGGGGGATATTCCCAGCAATATTGGGTTGGGGTGTGTGGCCCGCTTCCCAAAACCCTTGCGCTAGCTATGACTAAAATTTGCTATTTTCCCTACCCTATTTATGACCTTAAAAACTGCCTTCTTTAAAAAAAAAAACATACCGATCTCAAAACTAGAGTGCAAAAACCCTATTTATGACCAATATGGCCAAAATCGATACCCAATTATGGTCAAAACGGCTGAAAAATCATACCCTTTGGGGCCATACATACTTATATGATAATCCAAATAAGGGAGTACACCTCCCTGGGACGGGGGGGAATCGAGAAAATGGATTTTGGCAGGCAAAAACTTAAAAGCAGTTTTCTTGACCACGAACCCCACAGTAGCTCAGACTGATTACTTCAAATCTCTAACCCAATGTATTGCATTTTTTTCCTGTGCATCACTCTCTACCAGAACACAGCTAAACGACGGTACACTGTTTACATTTGTATTTTAGTTCCGCGCTGTGACTCGAAGAAGTGGTCTCATGCAGTCGATATTCGTTTTACTCTCTACAGAAAGTGTCTTGAAAAACATTTTTAAGCTCAGTCAATGTTTCAGACAAAGATTTGTCTTCGACGAAGCGCGTTAACCGAAACCTTGATTCGTTGCTCTATGTAATATAATAGGCGGTAGCTTTTGGCATCCATCCATCCAGGAATAAAGATAAGCCAAACAATAGAATGACCTTCACCCTGTAGATTAGCCTTCGGCCTTCGTCCAACTCACCTCATCTATCTTCATGTACTGTAATTTGTTCTCCTGGGTAGGCCCCTCCTCAGCAGCTGGCGTGGGATCTTCGTCGTCGCTAGTATCGTCACTGTAAGTTTCCCATCTCACCTGGCTGATATTCTTCTCTTCAACTGTAAGTTGCTTCACAGCAGCTTCGGCGCCAGTTTTACAGTCCTCCTCTTGATTACTGACTTTAGGTGTTTTACTCAGTTCTTCACCTTCGGCGCCAAAACCAGTTTTACAGTTCTCCTCTTGATTGTTGACTTGAGTACTTTCCTCAGCTGGTAATTTTACTCCAACAGCTTGGGTCTCGAGGTCTTCTGTCAAAGGTACATTTTTAAATTTTTTTCTTTTTTGTTTACAAATAACTGAATTAAAGAAAAACACGTTTAAAATAAAAAAGAACATAGGATGCATCAAGTTGCAAAACAAGAGCCACATATATAGCAAAAACGTTGTACCAAAAAGTT